ACACTGCTCTCTAATAGGCCATTCCGCAACATTAACTTTACCTATTTAACACACTATTATCAATTTAAAAATAATCTTTATGGTCCTTCAAATGACTCTCCCTAGTGCATCCATGTCTCACTCATACTGAGAAGCCCAGATCCAGCACTCCAGGTGGGGCCTCACCAGCAACACTTTGCCCAACGCCGCCCAGGATATCACGAGCCTTCTTTCTGGCATGGGCACACTGCTGACTCAAGTCCACCTTGAGTGTCCACCAGAATCCCCAGGTGCTTTTCTGTGAAGCTGCTTTCCAGCTTGGTGGCCCCCAGCAGGCAATATTACTTGCTTAGGAATTACTGTTTGCCATGATGGCCACATACCATGCCACTTTCCTTTGTAGACTGTTCCAAATGATCCAGATCCTATCCTCTGTCCAACTGTGATCTGTCCATCTGGTATCTCCCAATCATCACTTGAATCCCTTCGACCAAGGGTTTTCTTTATATATATATATATATGCATAAACAATAAAAAGGAAGAAAGCAAGTGCATTAATGTCTGTGAAGACAGCTCCTTGAAGATTCAGTATCAGCATTTCATACCATTAAAGTCCTAAAAGAACTTTGATTTTCAGATATTGATTACATCTGACTTTTCAAGCCAGCTATACTCAAAAATTGAGCACACAGGTATACTATGTTATTTGCTGACATGAAATATTTGCCACAGGTTTCTGGCAATGTTTAAACCAGTAAATATTAAGAAACTTTTTTTAAAAAAAGTCTCATTTAATTTTCAATTCTTAATCAATCATAATTCTAAATTATCAATTAAAAATGCAGACATTTTAATTTAACGTCTTGTTACATTTGAGAATCACTAGAGAACTTTCACAGTTCACGAATCATGGAGGGAAAAGTCAAGCTGTTATTTAAAGGGAAACTGGCATTGTAACATGAAGCACACCAAGACATTTGGGTGCCATAGAGTGAAAGTGAGTATAGAAAATTATTTAAATTATTTATATATCAGTCCCACAATTTCAATATTCCATTATTTACTGGTTTAAATTTCTTGATCGTTACCATACTCATATTCAAAATAATTCAGAAGACTTTGATGAAAGAGAAGTGAGAGGAACATGGTTGTGAAGTATTTCTATACTATGAATATACCACACTATGAATGAAAATAGCTGATCTTTCTCTTACCATTCTATTTCTGTCTTCTGAGGATGAGGATGACTTCCTTTCCCGTTGGGGTCCTGGTGATTTCTGTAACGCTTTAACATTGGTAAGTGACCCAGGCAAAGAGGCGGGAGGTGTTGCAGACAAACCTGCAGTTGAACCTAAATTTCAGAAACAGGGTAATTTTACCTATAAGAAACCAGCTTACAAGAATGTATTGATACTAGGTGCAACAATTGTGTTTAAGAAGCAGTATCTTCAAACATCAATGTAAATGTTAAGAGGGAACATACACTAGCAATACTGTCCTAATATTAGATTAGTGCTCAAGTCTTAGATTTCAGGAAGAGACAAGTCTACAGCAAACATCCCTGTATACCAGATAGTCCCCAGTCTCAATTTCATAAGTTCTCAGAAGGACAATGTCTCTTTAAAAAAAAAAAGTCATAAAACATGTTTTTTTTTAGTTCCACCAGTTTCTTTGAGAACAAAAATAGTAGTGATTTTGCTAGCAGCAGCTACCTCTCAGATTTCTTGTAGCTAACCTTTTAGGGATTCAATAAATAGCTGAAATACTGTACTTTGGAATCAAAATAGACTAAATGCAAAAAATCAAAATGTTTTCTAGTTGAGTCTCCAAGTGCCACCTGAAAACCATTTGGCTGTTTTAAAGCTGTTAGCAGAGAGGTCTTATTTATAAGTAAATAGTAGACTGTAGAAAGGATTCAAACAGAACAAGTACTTTAGTTAGCTATTTGAAGCATATTCTATTAGATACAAAAAGAACAGTACATCTGTAGCTTGTATGTTACCTAAACAAAGCTATGCAGGGAAATGTCACGAACAGAGCTGCATTTCAGAGCCCCACTGGCTCTTTACAAATAGAGCACTTCAACTAGACACTGCTTTTTAAAATACACCATAATTATTTGTAACAAGGTTATGTTGACCCTCTCAATGCAAAGGACATAAAATAGGGTCAACTGTTAATTAAATTCATCTTGCTCTGCTAAACAATGTATGTCATTGTACGAGACCTCCAGCATCCCAATGCTTTCTCTCACATCAGTGCTCTGGGAAGCAGTAGAAGACAATACTCCTCCTATTCCTTCTGAAGCCCCCTTCTGACCATAGAAGTGTCTCCTAACACCAACTTGAATTAAAAAATTGACTTTGTGACTTTTAAAACTGTTGCTCAAATTCAGTCACTCGGTGCGTGCTGATTTATCAGACTATATGTATATATCCATCACTGTCTGTCCTCACCGAGCTAACATCCATACATTTAGAAGTGGAAGCACAAAATAATGACATACCAACACATCAAAAATGGGACACATCATCCATAAACTTTGTCCCATATACTAAAGCAACTAAAGTAGTGATGCATATTGGGCATCCTAACTACGTTTACAAGCAGCTAGAAGCAAGTGACCTGAAGGATGGACTTTATGTTCAATTATGGTCACTATACTGTCATATATTTATTACATTATTTGTCTGAAATCACACATACATGGAATTAAATGTATGATGTTCCCAGAACACGAGCAATTTTCCAAAAGCTTACAGGGTTACAGACCTTCTCTGTAATAATGAAGCTCTATTCGAATGCATTTTCTTTAGAGGTAACTAAAAGTCTCCTACTTAAATACCACGATATGGAAACACTAACACAATATTCACCCTTCACTAAAATGCTTAGAGCACATGGTAGAACATCACAGTTAATCTGTTCATAATAATACCAGATGGCCTGTTTTCCAAGTTATTAGAGCAGAATACTTCAGATAATGTTGGACTTAAGTTATTAGCTTGGACTCTGAAGCTGTCTGTAACGCATTCCATTCTGCAGCCAGTTTGCTTGCTGGGAACACCTGTCTTCTTACAAAGACTTCTGGAAGACCTTTACAAGTTCATAAGGTGAACTGCTCTCGATAAATTCTGAAACAAAAGTCTTTGAAACAGCCAACATGGTAGCATTTGAAAACCACACTACATGCACTGAACTACCCATTTCTACGTGTATACACATAGGCACATTTCATGCTATTACTCAATAGTTGGTTTCTCCAGCATAAGAAATCCCCCAGATTTTGGGGGGAGTTTCTACAATATAACAGATCCATTGACAGCTTTAGGCCTGAACTATTCCCAGAGTCAATGACATGAAAAATGGAAGAGTCTTATTTTACATGGTACATGACACAAACAAATACTGTTTCACTGGAAATTTACTAACTAAATAAAAACTACATGGTCTAAAAACCATCTAAGGCCTCAACGCAGTATCAACAGCACAGCCTCAAAATTAAGTACTGGTTGAAAGTGGACATGAGACATTACTTGAAAAGCTTGAGACCTAAGAAGTTATCAATGGAAATGTTTGTAATTCACATCTGATTTCCTAGATTACTTTTCCAAACAAAGAATATTAAATATAGAAAACTCTTAGAGCACTGAACTGACTTAAACTGAACAGTCAAGGAACTTCTAAGTTAAGGACTTCACTTTAAAAATCACTGCAGTGCAATCCATGGATCTTTGTTCAGGAAAACTATGTTAAGGTCCACATATAAAATCCTCAACTACGAAATTCCTTGCTTTTGGAGATTTAAGCCAGACTTCATTTATAGTCATTTTCAAGCGTGTAAAGTGAAAGTGAGTATGTGTGAAAAGCACATTCAAAGCATTCCAGCCAGGCCAAGCAAAAAACAGAGGTGTTCCGATAAACTCACACACTTACATACACACGGTGTGAGGGTGAGACACAAACAGCATCTGTGGTTTTACTTATTTTGTTTGGGTGAAAACAAGAAAGAAGAGCCCAACTACCTCTGAACACTGGGCCAGGCTCAAAATCAAACACTATTTCACTGGGGACAGAATGAAGGAGGGGACTGGGAGTCCGGGATTGGTATTTCCGAAGACAGCGCATCAGCTGGTTCAAAGGGGCTGTTAGAGAGAAAGAGACGGGCAGGCAGAGACAGAAAGACAGACACATAGAAGAAATGAAAGAAGTCATGGGAAATAACTAGGATGCTTTGACTCCTATTCATAGATTGCTTCTGTACTTTGAAGGAAAAAAAAAAAGTCAATTACTAGTAACACTGTTTCAGGACTGGGAATAGCCAATTGTTTTCAGATGCCAAGCAGACAGTTTATGATCAAAAGTTAAAACCAACATGATAGCACAACATTTAAATGCTGGACAAAATGGGCAAAACTGTGGAGAGCCACACCTGTCAACACATATAAAAATAACTAAAACTGGTAACTTTAAATTGGTAAACTTGCAGGATTAAAAAGGAAGTTTCTTTTCAAAAAGTGCTCTATTGGCATAAGAATAAACAGCTCCATCAAACACAGCACAGTAGGTAGGTAACATCCTGCCAACTACCAGTAGGATGGGTAAAACAAAGTTAGTGATACCCCACAGTACAAAACCTTAGAGATCTAGATAAAGTGCACTAAGGTAATTCAGACTTCACTTGTGGCTAAAGTAAGTTATAATTAGTAGGAGATGTCTGTGTTAATGATTTGGAGTTCGTAAAACTGTCATATGGCTGCCCTACTTACTGTTTCTTTATTTCTAAATTACTATTATATTCATTGAAATAAATACATAAGAAGCCCTCTCAGGACCTTGACAGCCAGTGGGAGAAGTGCCTTCACAGGCTCGTGCATAACATGTGAAGAAAAATAAATCTTCTAGTTCTGACTGAACTGTGAATTAGGGCTGCGTGTTACTGAAGGAAACATAAAAAGACCTGGCTTTAGCATAAGGTCCTAACAACCTGGTTCCAAGAGTAGCACAGGCATGCAGTACAGCAAAGCAGCATCTTCAGCAAGGGTAGAGGGGGAGAAGAACTGGAGTATTTCATGCTGCTTTAGGATGCAGCATTTCGTATGGAAAGTCCATCTACCAAGTTGATGGTTTTCAATGAAAAACCCCATTGTTTCAGTAGGTGGAAAGGTAACAACAGGCATAAAAGCCTTTGAGATAAAAGTTGGGAAGTTGTAGCGTATCTGTGTGCAGCCATGTGAGTGAATGAGCATATGTGTGAGAGAGCAAAAAAGTGAGGGTGCAAGGTAATTTGAAAACTGAAAAATTAGATACCACTTCAAAACGTTTTCTCCTTCTGTCTCCCCCACTCCCAGAATGACCAGCAAATGACTCAAACCTTTGTCAGACAAATATTAAGTTCGCAAACAAGCAAATGCAAATTCATTTTTTGTTCTAGTCATATTTTCCTTTGTGCCTGTGTTTCGTAGAAGGAAGTAGAACAAAGCGAAGGGACACAGTGGTTGTGTAATTAAATATAGCAGAGTAGCTAGTTTTAACACTACTTACCTCCCTCTCCTCGTAAACCCTGGTCTCTAATCAAGTCCTATAAATAAAATAAAAATAATGGTGTTTAATTTAGGTATTATCATTTACATTTCAGAATCAATTGAGACAGACCAAATTGAAAATATATAACTTCATGTATTTTCCATTAAATAAAAGCTGTTTCCTACCCTGGCTTACTAATAGCAGCAACTCCAAAGAACTACTTATAACAACTACTAAACTTGAAAAAAAAAAATCAGTTGCTTTAAAACAGCATCTCTCAGTAGTAAAGTGAAATGTACATCACCCAAAATAGGTGCTGACATGAAAATACTGATTTAAACATGCAGTTGGCCAAAATACATAGAGAAATATTGAACCAAACATTCTAGTTCAAGTGCTTGTGGCACAAATTATTTGAGCTGTCGTATCAGAAGCTGGGCCTCCAATTTCTTGTACTGAGGTGCATCAGGCAAATGAGGTCTGCTTCGTTTTCTCTTGTAACCAAGCACCTCATTTGCATAACCAGGCGCACTCTGTTCTTCTCAGAAACGACGAACTGCAAAGGCTTTCTCTCACTTGCAATCCATCATGAACTGAGAGTCTCTTTTACAACACAGCCAGACTAAAAGCAAACTACACTAAGGATTTTCTCAACAGAAGAAAATTAGGAACTTCCAGCAGTTTCCCTCTGTATGTCTATTTTCATCATCAAGCTCTTTTTTTTGGTAACACAATTATTTTATTCCTTTATACACCTGCACTGCTGTTGAAAGCACTGGTCCTGCCTCTCAGCTGCACCATATACCCTGCAATATACCCTATGCAAATGTGTCACAGCCACACTCTTAACACTCAGCTGACATTTCACCTTTCACTCAGCTCTCATGCAAAACACACTTTGTGTCTCAGTGTCCAGGTAGACTTCAAGACTGCTCACCTGACAAATGACTAATTTCTAGACAGTAGACTTCAGGGTAAAATACAAGCTGTATACGTTAGCAAAATTAGAAAGAGGTTGTTGTGATCAACATTTTGAAAGGTCCTGCTCAGCCTTATATTTAGTAGGAACCATTATTATTATTTACGATTCAGCATCCAAAAATTTCAAACGTGAAAAGCAAGCTAAGAGTAGCAGTTTCTGAACACTCCAAAAGAACGCTCAGAACAATATATACAGGGCTCTTGAAACATTAAGGAACATTCAGTAAATCTAAACTCAGCTTACTGCAATAATTTCATTTTCTTCAATGCCAGAAATATTACTTGAATTACAAATACTAAAAATGCCTGTCTTGCATATAAAGAAATATGCTTAACGCATATAATGGCTTGCAAGAGTGGTTACGGACTTTCACATTCTTAATGCTGTGGTACAGCGAGCAGCAAGAGCCTTGGGACTAATGACAAAACAGAAAAAAGCAGTTGTTTGTGGTAGAATGTTCCTTTGAAAATGAAAGGACAGGACTGTGAAAAAGCAGTTTCTGCTTTTGGAGAATGGGTTATTTCCACTCTTAGAGCTCTCAATAGCAAAAATTTCTTACATGAGACCTATGAAAATTCTGAGAGCACCAAGGATTAGTTCAGAAACACAGCACTCATGTGTACACAATAAATTTAATGCACTGATATTCATAAGGTAAGGGAAACATCAGACCTCCTATTCTTGATCCAAACGTTTTTAATACTTACATCAATATTGACTGGCTCAATTGTATTGATGTGAACATTGGGAGCTGAAGAGGATCGGTCGCGTTGCCCAAATTGATTCCGATGATCTTCATCTGCTGGTCGGAGGGGCTGTGGGATTGGAATGGATTTTGAAGGAGAAGGACTAGGGAGAATTGGTGGTCTGAGAAACAAAGTCAAGGAAAAAGAGGATTTAGGTCTACAAATGGCTTCAAATACTGCATAGTGGGTGTGGTAAGTCCTTTTCAACTATAATAATACATACATTAAAAAAACTGATCTAAAGGCTAGCATAAAAACAATTTATAATGAACAGTCTCTACTCCCCTATGATCAATTGCAACAACTCTCTGCTGCACAGACTACCTAATTACATGGCTGTGAAGTGTTCAGAGTTAAAACACAACAAGAAGCCCTAACGTGCCATACCAAACTAGTAATCATAAATCCTGATCTGAAAAATTAATGTAGCCCGGCGTGCACTGCAGATAGCAAGATACTCTGCAGTTTCCTCACTCCAGAGTTAATGCAATATGCTCTTGTTAATGGCAACTTGTTGACAACTAAAAATGCTTAACATCTCACATCAACATTACAGTTAGAAGATGTCACAAAGTAAATTGTATGGATGGGATTATTGTTCAATGACTAAGACCAAAATTTACGTAGTGGTCACTCAACATAATTGATTTAATATTATGGCCAATGCAGTAAGAATTACTGATACTAAAAATAAACACATAACTTCTTAACCTCAACCTTTAAGAAATACCTTTGAATAGTGCAACATTTCAAAAGTTATTTACAGTGCTACAGTTAGGCAATGCAACAGATTTGACTTGAAAGATAAACATTCAGACTATACAGACAAGTTTTCTGAAAAAATGCAAGTGCTGTCAGTCATAAAAGTAGATAAAGCCTTTAATTTATAGTATCATGAATCACATTTTAAAAAAACCAAACCATCTAAATACTTGCTTTTTCATTTCCAAGAAGGCAGAATGTCACTACTTTGGCTAGCAATTTATTTTGTTTAAGTACGATAAACTGGCATTTATCTGTTACTCAAGTCAAGGTCAGTCACTATTAAGTCTAACAATTCAATTTAATGGATATAAAGCAACAGGTCAATAAGAAACATTTGCCACCTTTGGCAAAGAAGTCTTAATGTTAAAATATACATGATATCTGACAAGGTTTTTAGAACTTACAGAAAGCAAAACTCCTAAGAGAGGAGTAGAGTCGTCCAGCCATTCAATTACTCATGGGTTTGTTACCATGCCCATAAAGGCAATGCCCACAGGGAGCAGCTTCAGAAATAAACCACACAGGAGCATAGAGCAGCAATAGGTACTGCTGCCACCCCCTGTAAGCAAACACTCCTTGGCCTCTCCGAAGATCCTCAGGGGGAATTAAAACTTTCAACAGGATCTCCTGACATTTTTTCAGAAACAGGTCTGCTTTAGAGACTATTACCCTACCTTTCACTGAAGAGTTTACACAGTTTGGCTCTGATCCCAGAACTTGGTGCTATCTGTATCCTAAGTACCTGTCACCTTTTCCTTCCTGACCAACAGGCTCATGGCAAAACAGAATGCTTGCAAATTAGTTCAAATAACAGTCTAGTAAGTCTTGCAACAAAATACTTGGATTACGTTTGGGAAGTGGGGCAGGGAAAGAATAGGTAGGGGGTTTAATCCTGACTAACGTTTTTTAAAAAGTTACCTATTGTCACATGCAGAATATAAATACTGGGAAGATATGGGGAAGCAATGAACTGCAACTACCAATAGAGATCTTTGAAAAAGGGCCTTGAACAGTCCAGCATTTCCAAAGATGCTCAGAATTTCAGAAACATTTTTAAAATACAGTTGATGTCCATATAAATAAGCTAAGGTTTCCATTCATTGCTAACAACTGTCTTCAGGTAAAATCTTTTCTGTTGTAGGTGAGGAAGTTTTGAACTCCTGAACATTTTTGTAAGGAAATCACACTACTAGAATTCACATCAGGTGATGAGACACCACACAGGTACAAGTGCAGGACTTGGTTGACATACTAAGGCACTGTATTTTCATGTTAAGGCAAGTGCATCAGATGCTGCACAGAAAGATTTCAAAGAAAAGTCTAAAAAGTGTCTCAGCCAGGCCAGTACTGTCACTGTTGGGATAGTTAACTCCTGCTTAAACTTCCTGAGAGTTCTCAGTAATAACGAAATTAAGGGAAATGTCTAACAGCAAACATCAGAACATTGCACCAGAAGTGACTCTGAGACATTTGACCTCTGCCACCCAACAAGACCAGAAGCAAACAGATTTTCTGTGACCATGAGTAAACAAGAGAGAGAAAACCAAATTGCAGAAATATTGTTTCAATTACATTCTCCCTTGAGTCATAAATGGTCATTTGCTAAGGGAATTTGCAAATACTTCCGTATTTCTGGTCACAGGTCAACATGCCCATCACGCTGCTAGCAGAGAGAGCATGCTATGTCATAGCAGCTTTGAAAACAATTCTAATAGATTTTTCTACTCATTAAATTATAACTGGGGGAAGTTTATATCTTTAGAAAACAATTACAGGCTGGTAAAGAACTCTTTTTTGGAGTCTCTAAACTATTGTTGGGAGGATCTCTGGGCTTTAGACATCAAAGAATCCAGAGACAGGAATCTCATAAGCTGTTAGCTGTGTGCCCCATATATACAATCAGGTCTTCATTAACAAGTATCCTAGGGACACTTCCAAAAAAGTAAATTATTTTTGCTAAATGGGAATTTAGCTGGGAAAAGGTAACTAGTAAAGAGAAAGACAAGTGGTTTGCTAGCCAAGGTGGCCTACTGAGATCAGCAAAAAGCTGCATCCTGATCAGCATCAAGATCTTGATCTACATCACCACAAAGAATGCAATCCTCATAGCTACCAAAGCCTGCTTTTATAGTAGTCCTAAACTTTAATGACTCTAGGAGACTGGAAGGGACACTGGAGCATAAAAAAGACCAGCCATCATTATTTGGAAAAAGGTGACGTCTATTCTAGGCGAGTTACTAGTTCTGTAGGCTAAGCAAACATAGCGCCAGCACATATAGTGCCAAAAAAAGAAGAAAAGAAAAAAAGTCAAGAGGACCAGAACACAACTGCTGCAAAGCACTGTTTACAGTGGCATACATGTAGAGCAGGCTGAAGCTTAAAGGAGCAGCAGTTTAAATACCAGGATCCGAGTTTGTGTTGCTCCTGTGCCTTTGTGAGCAGTTCCCAGCCAACCTGGTAGCTACAGAAGACCTTCTACAAAACAGAATATTCTGACACATTAGAGAGGCTATACCACCTCATCTTGCACACTTTCTTCCAGCCTCTTCAACGTGGGCATTCCCTTAACAAATGATTCTCAGCTTCCCAGGTGACAGGCTGACAGAGCTGTCAAATCTCAATTTAATACATTATAACCTTCCCTGGCAGTCTGACAGAACAAGCTTTTTCTTTGGACCATGTATTTGGGATAAGCACATTGTTCCCTCCCTTTTTATCAAGGCAAAACAGAGGTTTTTCAGGAGACAAAAGTAATTGCAGACAGATGTGGATTTTCACCCTTTGTCAATCACAGCAAGTGCCAACATGTCCGCAGATTTACTACTCTACGATACTGGGTCCACAGGAAAGAGGAAGGTAACTCAGGAAAGTGCCCACACATGCTATGTTATATATAAACAAACAGTTTTATAAAATCAGTACCTCCACCAGATCTTAGATCTTGCAATGATACAAGTTAGTTCACTTTACAACGACAAAAATTTTAATACAGATTTTCCTCAATTTCCTTTAATGCATCAATGTGATGAGTTATATATTAGAGCTGGTCTACTCAGGAAAGATTTGTTTGGTTGGTTGGTTTTGGTTGTTTTTTTTTTTTTAAGAGAGGTTTGTTTGTGCTTCAAGATTTTTGCTAGGAATTTTATTTTGCTGTAGTTAGGTAAACACTTAAACTGGAAATTGAAAATTCACCTAGGTTCAGCTGCAGGGAATGTACCACTTCCCTTTTAAAATGACAGCACCTCCACGGGACTGAGATTTTGCTTCTCCCTCTCCCAGCCTGAACAAGACCATCTCAGCTTAGCCACAGGGCTCAGTGTAGTACACACTACTTGTCTGCTAGACTGCATACTCATACCCAAGCCAAACCTACTGCAAGCTAAAATGCGTACCAAGGTTTATTTTCTTTGTTTAGTCCAGAGTACAATGGGCTCTGGTTTTTGTTACTGCTGCTAATAAAGAACACAGTCTACTTTCATTTTCAAGCAGTTTCTAAGGATCTGAGATACAATGGTATTTCAGCTACACTAGCAAGCAGGTAAACTGTAAATTTTGGAGACCAAACATGTTCTCATTTGACTACTGTGGTAGTCCATAGATATTGCTAGGAAACAACTTTTTTCCCTAC